TGATTCTCTAACTCTCCATTTCTGATCGAACCTTTAAATAGTATCCACAAAGGTTATTATCGATTCTATTAGAGTTCCGGTTTGTGTTTGATTGTGCTCAGAGCTTACTCCCTAAACGTGACTGGTTATGAAAGCCTCGTGCATTGCTACTATCAGCGTTCGTTCGGCTACACACGGAGTACGCTTTCCAAGTATGGAATCCATGGGTAAATCGCGACAAGAAGGCTCTAGAACGTCCGCAAAGGCTGAAAAGGAAATTGATAAATGGTCTGTATAACAAGACATACTCTGAAAGACCGCAAACATTGGATTTCTACTCATCTCAATACAGCCGACTTCGGGGGACCTAATCTTGATATATCACATACTGCATTAACTCCACCACTCTTGCCGTTCTCTGCTGACTTTGTCTCATAATGATAACCTCAGGGGACATCCACTAAAAGTGAAGACCCAAAACAGCCATCTTGATTGCCGGTATTTCTCGTTTGCAGTCAGCGTATGCGGCGTATGGAATTCTCTGCCAGCTGGTGTAGTGTGCTGCTACAGTAGAACTATTTAAATCGCAACTTGATTTTGCATTGAAACACTTAAAATTTGAACATTCGTGAGTGATCATACAAATTGTTATTATTATTATTATTATTATCACTTTGTGAAGTTATTTAAAATATTCTGTAAAAATCCTATGGGGCATGATAAGCTTTAGCTTCGTTAAATCGTCCATAATAAAACTTTGACTTTTGACTGTGATACAACCTCCTTTCTAAGTTAATGGTTTAGTAACATGCAAACATGCTGGGTAGAGTATGTATCTGAAGCACTGCTGAGCGTCCCGGTCATTTTGGTAGTTTTGCGCGTCCGGTGAAAATGCAATCTGGTGCACACTCTGTGGAAGCGTTCATATGGTGGCCTTCGGATCATGAAAGATGCTACTTTGGGTTGTTTGATTTTTCAGTGCACTGACCAGATATCCTCCGCAACCCATAAGTTCAATTTACGCTAACCAAATGCCGTCAAAAAGGTAAACATAAACGGCTCGAAGAAATAACATGAAAGAACTCAATCAGGTTTTAATCATTGAACAAAGTAAAACATATGCAAAGCCCCATCTATTTACGCAGTCACATCCAGCCTTGCAGGATCCAGCCGCACTAAGTCCATATGCAATCCACGTGCGGCAACCCTATTTTCGGGGCCAATGTATGTATTAGAACTATACGTGAAAGGTATGATTGAAGTCGTGAAAGCTTTCTAATAAAGATTGGACGAAAATCTTTTAAGATGTCCAACAATCTCCGATTTGAAAGAAGCGAGGAGTTGAGAAATCGATTTTCGCGCGGTTTGCGATGCTTAAAACGAAATAATATATGGTATATAGAATGACATGCATGAACATCGTTCTTGTAGAAACGAGAAGATCAAACTACACAACCAATACAAAATCAATACAAATGTGTGTGTGTGTGTGTGTGTGCGTTTCATCCGCCTCGCAAATGGTGGACTCCAATCGGTTCTCCGTCAACATCGAGCAAGGCTGACTGAACCACAAGATTTATGAACCAGAAATCCGACACCTGCGCAAGTACCGTGCTTGTTTCACTATTGATCGAAATAACGTTTCAGAATCTTTAAATGCGGCTCTCAAACTGGAATTTTTACTGAAGCATTTTAATCCCGAAATATTTGGAATTATTTAGTCTACTGGCCGCAAACCAAAGAAAACTCGAAAGGAAAATCATGAATAGTTTTTGCGCACGCGAACAAACCCGGTTCGCGCGGTACGTCTTGTGTTCTTCATAACGGAACAATCACAACTAACATAATTTGGGAGTAAATTACAAATTTTCTGTTCAAAAATGCCGGTTAATTGATATTTTGTCTTCCATTATTGAAAGGCAATTTCAGTTGAATTCATCAGTTGGAAAAATGACAGTCGAGACCAAATTCATTTCATGGTACTTTTGCACTCGCCGTCTTTCTTCTTGTCTGTCGGAGCAACCTTACCTGACCTTCAAATGTGCCAGACTCATTCTGCACAGATTTCCAGAGGAATGTCAATCGCCTTATTTCCACAAAAATGAATACCGATCCCGATCAGAAGAGAGGGATTTGATTGCGTGCGGTTTTGGTGACCGGCCCTTACTGGCATTCGATGGAATGACTC